CTCGTGTGACAAGATGACACGAGTCGTGTGAGGTCACACGACTCGTGTCACTTTGTTACACGAGTCGTGTGACAAAGCCGTAGTTAATTCGACATTTTTCTCATGAGTCACACGACTCGTGTGACAAGATGACACATGTCGTGTGATGTCACACGACCCGTGTCACTACGCACACGAGTCGTATGAAAAAGCCGTAGCCGGTTCGACATTTTTCTCATGAGTCACACGACTCGTGTGACTGTGTGACACGAGTCGTGTGACATCACACGACTCGTGTCACTTGGCACACGAGTCGTGTCACCCCACTCTACGCGCGACATCTTTTTTTTATAAACAAGAATAAAATGAAAGCATATAATGAAAAAAACATAATCTTTTCAAAGTTTCCAACAACATAAAACCGAACACCGAATAGAAGAAAATATGTCATACATCAGGGGTTATTTTGAGCATCAAACCATAATTGCAACCTACCCTGGTACTGATTCTCCCAATTCTCCACCGAAGCAGTTCGGTGTCTGAACCACATACTATGAATAGGCGGTAATGGACAATCCGGAGTCAAATCTAACCGAATGTAGTGTGCATAGGTACCAAGATGATATATGCAAATCTCACGGCGTGGTCCTGTACTCGTTGATGCTGCAGCGAGCGGCAATACTGTGCAGCTGAACTGGTTGGACATACGACCATCGCGACCAGAGCTTAAAAGAACGACAACCACATTAAATTGGGTTGCAACAGGGTAGAGGTCGCTTGGAGTGTCCATCCAGTGACCCGTGCCACAAGCGCCACCGTCCCACCTTATAAAATTAAAATATTAGCATTTGAATAATAATAATTATAATATAAAAGAAAAATAAATATAAAATATAAATATTAGCAAAATAATAATAATAATAATAATAAAAAGCGCCCCCGTCCCACCTTATCCGAGCGAGTGTCATGTCGATATCCCTGTAATAGATGTACTCGTACAAGGCACGGTGGCTGTAAATCTCATTGGCAACGTTCTCTCATACGAGTTGCCACATCTCCTGGCCCCCGTAAATGTAACTCGCGATGACCCGCCATCCGCAGTTCCCATCTGCTTTCACATTCAAGTAGCTCACTACGTAGTCCAACATATGCC